ATTAAGAGACTTGGTCAACTTACTAACATACATAAGGTCAAAAGGAAATTTGGGGGCATACAAAATTGAGGATAAAGATAAAGGATCCATGTGAACATTATCAACACCACAAATGGGGAGGATGTGGAACCATTAGCAAGGGTAACAAATTGTGATGTTGGGTAGTGAGAGAGAGAAGAAAACACACATGGAGTTCTAGCCATGTGATCGGAGTCTCCAGAGTCGATAATCCAAGGATTGGGTTTGGATGCCAGACAAGCCATACTTGAGTGTGCAAGAGTGGTTGTATTTTGTTGAGATGTGGCCTGAACAAACCTCTCATACTCATAATGGGGAACACTCATCATCTCCTTCCTGGGAACATCTGTGGATATAGGGGGCATCTGATCAGCTGAATGTCTCTCCTGTCTGAAGTTGCTATCACTGGTCATGGCATGATTGGCCCAAGTTGAAGGTGGACCATGCAAATCATAGCAATAATTGATGGTATGTCCATCCATACCATAGTGTGTACGGACCAGAACTTCGTCCTCTGCCATGGACTCCCCCTGAATCTCGACCTCCAGAACGACCACCACCACGATTATAAATAGGCCCACCACCACCACTACGGCCATATACCGGTCCACTGCTACCACTACGGCTAGATGAGCTCATTGAACTCTACCTCTAACACCACGACCCCTTGATACTGCAAAGGCTGATCTATCGGAGACACTAGAATTCTCGGTAGATCCAATAAAAATCCTCCTAAGTCGAGCAAACACCTCTTCTAATGAAGGGAGAGCTGATCCTCCTAGTATCTGTGCCCGCACTAGTTCATATTCATACTTCAGCTCCACCAAAAATCTGTTCACATCTAGTTGTTCTCTCTGCTATTGCTGAATTTTAACATTAGAGGTGAGGGGGTGATACACATTCAGTTCATTACGAAGGTTTCTCATGCTAGTATAGTATCCTCAAGACTCTGATTATCCTGCTGCAAATTAAAGTATTCCTGATACAACTGATATACTCTAGTTGTGTTGTCTTGTCCCGAATACAGCTTCTTAGCACGGTCCCACACTTCCTTGGCAGTATCGAGAAACATGAAATTCATACTAATCATGGGTTCCATACTATTCCATAACCATGTAATAACCTGTGCATCTTCTTGTTCCCAGTCACCATACTCATGAGATTCGGTAGAGGGTTTTTCCTCCCTTATGTGTTTCACTTTCTTCTTTGCTTTAAGAAAGACTTCTACAGATTTCGCCCAAGGTACATAATTTTCTTGTTGTGGATGCTTTTACAACCGCTAACAGCAGCAGTGATGGACAACAGCAGTAATGGGCGATTAATTCAGAGTTTAATGGAYARYAGCAGTARTGGGCGATTAACTCAGTGTTCTCATCTTATCTAATTCAGTGTTTTCATCTTAGTGTTCTCATCTTATCTAATTCATTGTACTCATCTTATCTAGTTAGATACAACTCTATCTTATCTAGTAGGGAGTCTTATCTGTTCAGTGTACTTATCTAAATTCAGTAGTATAGATCAGTAGGGAGTCCTCCTAAAAGTGGGATTCTTATCTTCTTGTAGTCTCCTATTTAAAGGAGCTAATGATATTCAATAGAGGCATCGAAATTCTCAGTCAAGACAGAGTAGAGGAGAGTTGGTGATCTCTTGAACAAATCACCATTAAGGTGCCAAGATAGGTTCCTCAAGAAAAGGGAGGAACAAAGGAAAACAAGAGGTTTTCCCTGTGGACCGACCCGTGACGAGATCCTATTCACGGGCCTGTAACATTTCTCCATTCAACTTGATAGAGGTCATCTGAACATTCAGATAGTCAGTAGGAACCATCACACTAGTTTTACTTTCATTGTTGTCTCCCATGACTGATTTTTTTTCTTATTTCACCCCTCCCCAAACTGCACAATAAACCACACTGTTTTCAGCACCTGTTATTGCTGAATTCTTCACTCTCTACACCACAACCCTACCACACGACTACCTGAAAACTCACCACACTACTCGAAGATCACTCCCCCCTTCAAACCACACTGAAATCTGCATAAACCCTAACACACTACAACCTGAATTTTCACCACACGACCTGGGACACATCCACCATTTGATTCACAATAAAAAACTGCATAAAAATCACTTACCTAATCACCAGAAAATCAAACTGTACTTGACACTCCACTGCATCACTCGAATCAGCCCTCTTCTCTTCATCGATTAGGGGGGCTTCCTACAAACCACAACAAACACCCACGAACTGCATGACTGGAGGCATAGAAACCTCCAAGGGAAGAGGGTGATCACTCCTTTTCAGCCCCTTTCCTTATCTCCAACTGATGGCGAAGAAAAAAAAAGAAAACCCTAGACTGGATGCGTGGAGATCAGAATTCTGGGCTGATTCGATTTTCTCAACCTAGTTCTGATACCATATTATAATCCAATCTGCTCTTGAATTCTGTTAGAATAATGACTGTAGAAGTAAGAGAAAGATGAGAAGAAGAAGAAGAAGAAGGAGAAGAGAAGAAAATAGAGGAGAGAAATCTGGTTCGAACTAGAGAGAAATCTCTCTCTCGTCGGCCAGATCAATTTATATGTTTCTATTAAATAATAAAAAGACTCCTTTGCCCCTACTTAAGTGAGGGACACAACTACTAATAGAACATTACACATCAGCAACTTAAACATAAACATAAAGACTAAAATACACCTACACAGTCGACATTAACAGCTGGTAATGTCACTCCTAAGGCTTATTTAACAATCCCCATTCTAATTCATTCATATTTCTTAAGTGACTTTTGATATAGAAAGAACATTGCATGGACATATTTGAGTGGTGATATGTTAGAACACCTGTGGGAGAGACATCAAAGTGTCAAGTTACAATAGGACTTCACCAAGGTTCATGACTTGGTCCTTATTTATTTGACGAGCATATTGGCCCATGGTGCATGTTGTTTGCTGATAACATGGTATTAATAGATGAAACTAGAGAAGGATTAAATGCAAAATTAACACAAGTAGAGTAGTAGTTAATACCTTAGCAATTGGAGACTAGACCTGTTCATGGGCCGGGCCAAACCGGGTCAGGCTTTTCACAAGCTATGTTAGCTTGACTCGTGAAAAACTCAATTCGAGTCGGTTTAAACCGAGCTTTGAGTTGAGCTCGAGTCCGACATATAGGCTCGTTTGCTAGTGAAGCTTGGCTTGTGAGGCTGTGAGCCTAATCGAGCCTTCTATATATATATATAATTTTTATTATACATATCATACATGTATGCATGCATGCATACATACTTGTATGATAATATTTTGATATATATAATTCTTAATTTTTTGTATGTAAAATAAAAACTAATAATTTTTATTTTTTATAGGAAGCTTGGCTCATAGTCGAGCTTGAGTTGAGCTGAGCCGAATTCGTGTTCAAGTCTCTAGCTTGAGCTCGAGCGTAACATTGTTTTGGCAAAGCCGAGCTCAAATAGCTAGGTATTCAGCTCGACTTGGCTCGAACCCAACTCTATCATCAGGCCTAGGTCTTGAGCTCGAGCCCGGCCCTCAAAGAAAAGCCCAAAGCCCAACCAGAAATTTGAAAAAAGATTTTTTTTCTTTTTTTTATTCAATAAAAACTCTTTTATTTATATTAATAGACCTTAAAACCCAAAAATAATGAAAGATCTCACTGTTACTTGAAAAAAGAGAAGAGGAACAAAGAAAAAACATAGTGTTTATATATGTTTATTATATATTGTCAAGTCAGGCTCGGTGTTTTGGGCTCGAGCCTGAGCCCACGAGCCTAAAGTCATGTCCAAGCCTGACTTAGAACGGGCTGGACTGGTCTGGCCCATTGGGCTACCTGGCTCAGGATCAGGTCTATTGGACAACAAGAGATATCTCAGTGTGACTTTTTTTTTTCTAATAAATGATCTCAATGTGACATCTTCCATCTCCTTGATTCAATAATCCACAACAAGGGAGGGGTTGAGACCATGGTTGCAACTTGGGTGGCTCAGGTTGATCAGTTTTTAAAATTTGAATAAATCCAGACCTTTGCATATTCTGTTAGTTGTGTATCCAATTGCCCCTTAATTGAGGACATAACCCTAGAACCAAAGCAGGATGCAAAAAATGGAGGAATGCATCTAGAGTCTTATATGGTAGGAGAATATCACTTAGGCTTAGAGAAAAATTTTATAAAACATTTTATAAAAAAAAATTTATGAAACGTTCATAAGGCCAGCAGTGCTGTATGGAGCAAGGCATTGGGCGGTCATGAAACAATTTGTCCAAAAAGTGAATATGGCAAAAATGCAAATGCTGAGGTGGATGAGTGGGAACACCAAAAAATATCAAATCAGAAATGGGTTTACTTGAAGGAATCCAGGGGTAGCTCTAATAGGCGATAAAAGAGAAAGTTGACAAAGTTGGTTTGTGCAAGTACGGCAAAGAGAAGACCATCCATAACACCAATAAGAAGTGATCTGTCATAAGTTGAAAGAGGCTAGAAGAGCTTGATCCCCATGCCCATGGTTCAACAGTGGATATGACACTGAATGTAAGTAAACGTAATGGCAGAACAGGGTTAACGTAACTGACTCCATATAGTTGGGATAAGGCTTAGATGATGGTGTTTCAAATACTACTCTGCAAAGTAAATAAAAGGAAAAATAAGTGGTCACTGTAACCTAATACGTATTGATCCCCATGCCAAATGCTAAATGACCTCTAATCCCTCTCCAGAATAAGTAAATAAAGAAATAGATACAAGGCAAAGAAAAAGAAATAAAGAACTAGCCCGAGCTTCTGATTGTGTAGGACACATGCATGTCAAGGCACCCATGTAGTTTCAACCTGAATTTATTACCCATGTAGTTTCAACCTGAAATAAAGAACTAGCCTAGTATAAGTGCAGCATTGATGCTATCCCAAAGGAACTTGATGTCACTATCATCTATGGCTGACGGTTGTCTTTTACATTGATGATCTTGCAGTAATGAAGAACCCTGCTAATCTTGCAAAGCACCAGGCCAATCCCAAGGTGGCTCCTATCATTGCAAAGATGATGAGCAAATTTGCGGGACCTAAATAAATAATGTTGGAGGATGAGATCAGTCCCATGGGAGCTCCCAACTTCGGCGTTGCTTGATTATGATCGTGTGCATAAGTCACCATGTTTACTCGGAACAGACTCGGAAGTCGGAACGTTCTACTAGCATAAGCCCATTTTTACATTTGGTTAACAAATTTTTATTCAAAGTGCTGAAAAATTTATAGGTAAGGATTATTGTTCCTGTCCTAGAGTTTAATGGCATGCATGATAGGGATGTGGCCCGTGTTCTATAAAAGAAAGTTCTTAATACTAGTATTGATGCGATTCCCTGCAAGCAAAAACTTTGCACACGCTCTGAAAGCATGAGAATCCAGCTGCACAGTGGGAATATCTCTCCATGAATTTAACATGTGAGAAAATATTTCCAATGCGCTTCTGGTTCTGGATGCCATGTGAGCAGAGTTTTTGCTTGCAGGAGATATGAGCTCGTACTAGTAGGACAAGGGAATTCTACTTTGATGCCCGTATGTTTAATGGGCATGGATGGCTGTATCGTTGTAAACATGTCTTTTAGCAGGTAGGAACTCAGTCTCACAAGCTTCAATTCATGCATCAATCTGTATGAATTTAACACATCTGCTCCGAATACCCCCCTCCCCGTAAAGAAAGCCAAGAACAAAGAGAAAAAGTGGCATAACTAACCGTATTACCCACCAGGAAAAATTAAGGAGAAAACTTATCTATTTGGAGGTAGGCCATTGTGATGGCGGGGTCCATGAAAGCTACTCTTTACTCTTATCAGCAGACTAGGCATCAAAACAACCACTTTCAATTTGTGTACTTTAACCTTTTCTCCCCAGAGATTGGCACAGAAGTTGGTTACAACTCCTGGGAGGTTAACTACTAACAGACAGACTGTTCTAAATTCTAATATGCCCCGGCCTCGTTGATTCTTGCGTTCTGATTCTGATTCAAGGGCTAAGAGGCCATTTAACTAATACTATGCCAATTATGAAACACCACGTGAATTCTTTATCACGTAGTAGGGTGCTTTCAAATTTCAACCATGGTGGTTGCCTTCATCGTCACGACGGACTGATGTGCTGTAATTTTCAAAGAGCTGAACCACACCAGAATGAGACTATTTGATTGGGCACCCTTAAAGATGGAGTTTGCAATTTGGAGCCTGTCAGAAAAAAAAGCAGTTCCTACTGTCCTTCAGTAATGGCAGCAAAGATTTTTTTTTTTTTTGATTTTTTTTGAGTGGGGTTCAGGTAGCGTGGCACCCATCTTTCATAAATTTTGTCTTTAGATCTTCATCTGCCGAGGACATGTTAAAAGCTGTTAACCTAACCATAACCTCCATGGCCGAGGAACAGATTTTTCATTTTTGGCTTGGTAGTTGGGAAAAAGTATCAAAGATTCTAAGCTCAGTGACTTTAGTGGAGTGAATCGTTTGGCCCGTGATGCAGTTATTTCCAAGGTTCAAAGTATTGATACTGGGTACCAGCCCCTTTTTTTTTTCTGATTTTGGTTCGGAGGGGCCGGTTTAAGTCCCGGCTACCCTCTGAACAAGGCCCTAACCTGATACAACCCCTGTAGGGGCATATCGGGAAAGGCCCGATAGGATACGTATCGGCCGATACGAGTCAATACGTAACGATTTTTTGAACCTTGGTTATTTCGGGCTCAGCTGCTCAGTGGTTTTAGTCTCGGTAAAGTGAGCTGCTTGATCCACAATGCAGTCGTTTCGGACTTGGGAGCAAGTCCTGAACCTTTGTCAACTCGTTTTCCAGGCTGATGCATGAATTGTAGCTCTGTGAGACTGAGGATGGCGTGTTGTTTGCCTTTCTTTATTTAGAAGAGAAGAGGGGGAAAAACAGAATTGGATTTACCTTCTCTTTTTCCAGGTTTCGAATTTTCAAGGACCATGATTCTTTTGTTCTAGAATGGTAGAATTTTTTTTCTGACCACGGTCTTGCCTACCTCAAGTCCAGATCAAACTCAGCAGCCGGTTATCAGTTTATGCTGATGTATGTTCAAAAATATAAGTAGTAACTGTCACCCACTATTTTTACACAGTTTCAATGCCGAACCGCGTTTTGACTAGTTCCAGCCATGAAGGCTATTCCCTCACGGAAAGCTGTTTACAGTATTTTTTTGGGTATTCAAAGCTGTTTAGAGTATGAAACCTTAGAGTCTTTCGTTTTTCTTTTATGCCGTGTTTGGTCTTATAGAAAATAAGGGAGAAATAAAAAATTGAGGGAAAGTTCTCGGAGAATTTTATGAAATTCCTTCAGAACTTTCTCTCTTATTCTTTGTCAAATGCCTTAGGTGCCATTGGTAACAGCTGAAGATGGTGAACTGAAAAAGCTTATTACTTTATCCTTTAGGCTGCGTTTGAATGTGGTGGAAAAATCCACCATGTAAAAGAATCGATGGAAAAATTTATTGTATAAAAGTTTATTGATTTAAAACTGCCTGGACCATTGGGAATTTTTAAGTGAGAATGGATGTAAAACTACATCGATTTTATCAATGTATCAATTTACATCGATTAACGATGTAAAAATTGGTTAAAAAATAGGATTACATCGATTTTCAATATAACTTTTACATGGAAAAAAAACAACTATCAATATTTACATTAGAAACAAATGGATGTAAATGCAAACCGATGGTTGAATTTTACGTCGATTCACATTTACACCTTAATCAAATACAGCCTTTGTGAATAATTGTTTTTAAGGAGACTGCAAAGTTAGGTAGATCACACTATATCCTTGAAAGTTTTACTATTTAATTTATCAAATGGCTACTTAGTTTGAAAACCCTAGGGGGGTTTGAATATTACAAGTTGAATAGTTATATAATGTGAACTGAATAGTTTGAATTGTGGATCAGTTCACACCAATGAGCGGACTCATTAATTCTGGTAATCAATTAAGGATACTGATGTAACCGTTTTTTGGTCACGTACCATTTTTTTGGGATGTGTAAAATTTTTTGGCTAAGTACCTCGTGTTTGACCTAGTGGTGACGTGCCTTGGTGATGAGCTACTCGGTGGCAAACTTCCCGGGGGAGAACTGCCTGGTGATGCTTCCTGGTGGCGAACTGCCTAATGGCGAACTGCCCGGTGGCGAACTGCCTGGTGGCGAACTGCCTGGTGGCGAATTGCCTAGTGGCGAACTGCCTAATGGCGAACTGCCTGGTGGCGAACTGCCT